ACAGGCGTGAGCCACCGCGCCCAGCCATAAGTGTATTTATTATAGGGTTTATAACATATATAAATGTAATATGTATAAAAATAATAGTATCAAAGAGGGAAGAGGGAATAGAGCTTTTTAGGACTAACGCTTCTATAGCTCACTGGAATTAAGTTAGTATAAATCTTCTTAGTATGATAGCTGGGTGCAGTAGCTCACACTTGTAATCCCAGCACTTTGGGAGGCCAAGGCAGGCAGATCACTGGAGCCCAAGAGTTTGAGACCAGACTGAGCAGCATGGAGAAACGCTGTCTCTACAAAAAATACAAAAATGAGGTGGGTGTGGTGGTGCCTTCCTGTAATCCCAGCTACTCGGGAGGCTAAGGGAGGAGGATGGATTAAGCCTGGGAGGTCAGAGCTGCAAGTGAGCCGTGATCACACCATTGCCCTCCAGCCTGGGCAACAGAGCAATATCCTGTCTTAAAAAAAAAAAAAAAAAAAATGAATAGAAAACCCTTGAAGTAACCACTTAAAAAAAAAAAAAAAAAAGAAATTAAATGAAACATTTAGAAAAAAAGTAAAATAGCAAGTGTAAAGCCAACTACATCAAAAACATTACATGTAAATGAAGAGCCTAAGAGTTTGAGACTGCCGTGAGCTGTGACCGTGCCACTGCACTCCAGCCTGGGTGACAGAGCAAGACCCTGTCTCAAAAAAAAAAAAATGAATTAAATAATGCAAACAAAACTAAAAGCATTTGTGCTTCAAGGACACTATCAAAAAAGTTAAGAGAACCCACTGAATGGAACGAAATATTTCCATATCATATATTTGACCCTATATCTAGAATACATAAAGAATACTTAACATCTCAATAATAAAAACACAATCCAACTAAAAAATGGGCAAAGAGGGCCGGGCACAGTGGCTCACACCTCTAATCCCAACACTTTGGGAGGCCAAGGCAGGCCGATCACCTGAGGACGAGATTTCGAGACCTGCCTGGCCAACATGGAGAAACCCTGTCTCTACTAAAAATACAAAATTAGCTGGGTGTGGTGGTGTGCACCTGTAATCCCAGCTACTGCGGGAGGAGAATCGCTTGAACCCAGGAGATGGAGACTGTGGTGAGCCGATGTGGTGCCATTGCACTCCAGCCTGGGCAACAAGACAAAACTGTCTCCAAAAAAAAAAAAAAAAGGCAAAGAATTTGAATAGACATTGCTCCAAATAAGATATACAGATGGCCAATAATTACATGAAAAGGTGCTCAACATAATTAGCTATAATGGAAATGTGAATTAAAACTATAATGAGAAATAGCTGCATTCACTGGGATGGGTATAATCAAGAAAATAATAACTATTGACAAGGATGTGGAGAAATTAGAATCCTCACCCCTTGTTGGGGGGATCTTAAAACGGTGCAGCCACTTTGGAAACCAGTCTGGTTGTTAAAGTTAACCACAGTTACCATATGACCCAGCAATTTAACTCCTAGATATATACCTAAGAGAAATGAACATATACAAAAACTTGTATACAGATAATCCTATCAGCATTATTCATAATAACTAAAAAGTACAAACAACACAAATGTCTATCAACTAATGAATGGATAAAATGTGGTATATACATACAATGGAATATTATCTGGCACTAAAAAGGAATGAATGATACATGGAACAACACAGATGAACCTTAAAAAGAGTCCAAGTGAAAGAAGCATGTTGTATGATTCAATTTATATGAAATGTCCAGTAGGTAAACATAGAGATAGAAAGTAGATTAGTAGTGGTTGCCTAGGGCTGCGGAGGATAGAATGATTGGGGTTGACAACCAGAAGGGTATGAGGTTTCTTCTGGGAGTAATAAAAATGTGTTAAAATTGATTGTGGTGATAATTGCACAATTCTGTGAACATACTAAAAACCACTGAATTGTATGTTTTATTTCTATTGATTGATTGAGACAGGGTCTCCCTCTGTCATCCAAGCTGGAGTGCAGTGGTGTGATCACAGTTCACTGCAACCTCCACCTCCCTGACCTAAGTGATCCTCCTGCCTCAGCCTCCCAGGTAGCTGGGACTACAGGTGTGTGCCACCACGTCTGGCACCATTTTTGTATTTTTTTTGTAGAGATGGCTTTTCTCCATGTTGCCCAGGCTGGTCTCAAACTCTTGGGTTCAAGCAATCTGCCCACCTTAGCCTCCCAAAGTGTTGGGATTATGGGCATGAGCCACTGCACCTGGCTGAATTATACATTTTAAATGGGTAAATTGTATGGTATATGAATTATATCTCAGTAAAGCTGTCACCAAAAAAGTTCATGTATAAATAAAAGACAACTTAAAATTCTGAAAATAGTTTTGTTATGGAAACAAAATAAGGAGGGTAATTAAGCATGAAATAATTTCATTCTTGATAAAAGTATATTGATTATTACAAAATTTGAAGTGTTAGTTTACAGCCCAAATCTTTTAAAGAATTTATGTCTGCTGAAATGAACTTTCATCCTTTGCAAAGATGCAACTTTAGTTACAGGAGGAACATATTTAATCTAAATACACATTGTCAGAGATAAGACTCAGAGGATAATATATATAAACCTAACTGTACTCATCTGTGTTAAATAGCTATACAAAGCTACTAACTTAAAGTATGAAAGGGTTATGAGACATTTCAAACTATAAGTTTGGAATTCTTGTTCCTTTGTGATACCCTTATTATACTAAATACATTTAGTGGTTACAAGTCCAGTGTACCTCTTATAGAACAGTCCACCTTATAGAACATAGGATTAGATATGACAAGATTAAAATGTTGCACATTTTAGGAAACTCAGAAATAATTCAAAGATGCTTTTATACTAAACTCAGCAAATTTGGTTCCAAAATGTCTTTATTATGAAAAACAAGTAAGCATAATGTTTAGACATTAATGTACAGAAAATAGTTGTCATATATATTCCTTTACAATTTTCACACCTGTTTATTTAAAGTGTTTATTCTACACATTAAAAAACATAATAATGAGATCATGTTTCAATAGGAAATTGCTAAATTTTACTTGCAAATTTTTGTAACTATAATTCTAATACACATTGGGATCTAAAACTATTGGTAAACAGCAACAATAGAGACTACATATTTTTTAAATTGGGCAAATTAAAGGAGAATATATTGAGATGTAAATCAGGAAGCAGTTATTCGCTTTACAAAAAGTTTTTAAATATGCAGATTAATTCACAACATATACCCTTTAAATACTAAAGCATTTAAAATAAGTTTAACAAAAAAGGCAACTTACGTACTTTTTAAAACCCCATCAGTTGTATAAAGAGAGGCACTACTTTTATCCACGAAAAGCATCAACATTTTTAACAGTTCAAAAATAGGAGCCCAAAACAACTGATTTATCAGAAACAAAACAATACAATGGCTATTCACAGTGTAAGAAATTAAATCTATTTTTTAAAGCATGTTTTTCAGTCTCAATTTATAACACACTTTGACTTCTACTTCTGCTTTTCCTTAAATCAATCTGGACTGTGTGGAAGAAAGCCGTAACATGAAGCTATTAGCAATCTGGGTTAATGTTCTACAAAAAAAATATGCTGTCTATATACACAGAAAGTAATGAAGAAAAAAGTTAGCGCTGAAGTACAATGCATACTCCTTAGGTTCTGAAACTATCAGTCTAACAGAAAGCACCAAGATACAGATGCCAAAGTTAGAAAAAATACAAAGTGGCTCAGAATCAATATATCTTATTCAAGGTAAATTTTATGTTACATTGTTTGTCTGGCATTTGGGAGGCTAAATTAATTTAGGAAGCTAGAAATCCCATCTCTACTTTTTTTTTTTTTGAGACGGAGTCTCCTCTGTCGCCCATGCTACAGTGCAGTGGCAGGATCTCGGCTCACTGCAAGCTCCGCCTCCCGGGTTCACGCCATTCTCCTGCCTCAGCCTCCCGAGTAACTGGGACTACAGACGCCCGCCACCACGCCCGGCTGATTTTTGTAATTTTAGTAGAGCCGGGGTTTCATTGTGTTAGCCAGGATGGTCTGGATCTCCTGACTTCGTGATCTGCCCGCCTCGGCCTCCCAAAGTGCTGGGATTACAGGCGTGAGCTACCGCACCTGGCCTCCATCTCCACTTTTAACAAAGATTTGCTTATTACTGAATTAAAGTTATTAGTGAAAACAGCATAGTGAAGACTCTTTTTTGTGTTTATTGATGAGAAAACATTACTAAAATTTTCTTATGGAAAATGAGGAAATATATAATAATTTTTTGAAAATAAAAAGTAAACTTAGAAATAAATTCAAGGCAGTCAGGTGCAGTGGCTCACGCCTGTAATCCCAGCACTTTGGGAGGCTGAGGTGGGTGGATCATCTGAGGTCAGGAGTTTGAGACGAGCCTGGCCAACATGGCAAAACCCCGTTTCTACTAAAAATACAAAAATTAGCCGGGCGTGGTGGCAGGTGCCTGTAATCCCAGCTACTCGAGAGGCTGAGGCAGGAGAATCACTTGAACCTGGGAGGCAGAGGTTTCAGTGAGCTGAGATCATGCCATTGCACCCTAGCCTGGGAGACATGAGTGAAACTCCATCTCAAATAATAATAATAATAATAATAATAATAATAATAATAGTAAATTCAAGGCACTTGTATCAGTGAGTTTGCAATATCAAGGGCAAAGAACATTTTTTATTTCTTCCAGAAATTCCTTCCACCCCAAACCCATAAACTCTTCTCCTCTTTATTGTCAAACCTAACAACTGTAAGTTACTTCAGTGGAATTATTTGCAGAATTGTGAATCATTTGTTCACTCTACAAATAAGCGAAGAAATAAATTAAATGCTTTCTACTTAAAGTTGTCTAGTACTATTGTTTTAACTGCAGTTAAAGTAGAAGCAAATAAACTTATCTGTCATATTCAATATTGTCATTTCCGTAATAAAGCTTACTTTTCCTTTTCAACTGAAGCTGGATGAAAAATTCATTATTTAAAACACCCCATTAACAATTTTTCCAGATCGATTTTATTTAAGAAATAAGTTGACATAAAGAAGCAAAAGCAACTTACTAATACGTCAAACAAAACACAAGTACCAAACCTAATTCAGCACAGGTGACATAATATAAATCGATAAAAATTCAATTAAATATTTCACACTACATAAAAAGTAGGGTGTTCTACTTCCCCTTCAAAATATGGAAGATGACTTTTAAATTACATTGTTTTACATGCTCTAATCACAAGTACTACCATGTGACTATTCACTGCGTGCTTAGGTAACTATGGTCATATTTTCAGAAGGCTTGAAGCAATATACTAGTGATTCACTAGTCAGATGTACAGAGTCAACCTGAAGTACACTGCCTGCAACTATCTTAACATACTTTAAAAATTATGTATAAAAGTGAAATGAGAACCACTGAAACTAATCTATCAGATATATGACATCAACATCAAACAATTCTTAAGCTCCAAAAGAGCAAAGCATCTGAGAGTTAGTCTAAGAATTCATGTACTTTTACAACGTATGTATAACAGAAAATAAAGACAATGGAAAAAGCTCCCTTCTAATGTAGTGTACTTTTACAACACATATATAACAGAAAATAAAGACAACGGAGAAATGTTCCCTTCTAATGTAGTAATTTAGAGTACTGAAAATGCAATTTTTGCAGCACTTTAACAAGTTAGAATTATGAAAATCTGTTCACTGAACTCAGGAGTATAAGGAAAAACTAAACATGTATCCCAACTTATGACACATCTATAGACTACATCTATCCTGAATCTCTTAATAAGGCCAAATCAACGTTTTAAAATTTTCTCTTCATAAATGATTAAAAATATAAAAATACTTAAAGAAACATAGCATTTAGACTGTGAAACTGTGTTGTAAATGTTATTATAGTTGTCATTTTTTCTTGATGTTGAAGACTGCATCACAGTTTCATAAATAACATTGCTTGTGTTTTATAATATATCTGCATGCAGAGGTACGTTTAACAACATCTGCATGTATCCCCAGAAACTGTTGCTCATTTTAGAACACATATTTTTATTCTGATAATGATTTAATTTTTTACTTAGTACTTCAGTAGAAAATATGTGAATAGATTGTATGCCCCATATCAGTATTTAAAAAAAAAAACCTGAACAACATTCTTTTAAATGTCCATTTAAAAAAACATGTAACAGTTATTGTTTTATCATGATTAAATTGGTATCAAATTAATAGGCATAAGTGAAATAACTAATCATTTACTAGTCATTTAAAAAATGCAATAACATCATGCACTATGTATTACTAAGAAAGTGCTCACTTACACAAGCAGCAGATGAGAAGAGTATCATGAAAATTCTAGATATATCTTTATGTATATCCTTAAAAATCACTTTCCTTTATATAATTTCCATTTTAATTTAAATGCCACGTATCTTCAGCTAACATTTAAATTAGTTTTTATTGTAAAACTTCAGTTGTTATACATCATAAAATACCTTCAGAAACTTGCTTGAAGGTAGGAATAATTCTTTCCTTCTATTAAATAATTATATCACATTAAGTATTTATTAAATGTTATGTTTGAGAAATGTATTCTGACCTAGAATATACTCAAATTCAAGATCAATAATAGAAGGAAGATTTTATGGGGAAAATGTTGAAATCAGTAAAAGTATTAAAGACCATGTAACAGTAAGGAAGACACCTGTCTGGAATATTGCAGAGTGGTATACATCACATTTAATCAAAGGAGAGTAATGCTTGATCTTCTATTTCCCACAGAACTCTGGATCCAGTTAAGAGCAGAAGGGGGAAAGAAGCAGCAATATTTCAAACGTCCATACTCTGAGCTGCAAAAGACATCGAGTAGATAGAAGAAAACTGCGTTTTACTTCAGGTAGTCTTTGAAATGAAGGCTCTGTTATTTTTCAAGACTGGAAGGATATCACAGTGTTGATTTTATATACAAAGTAGGATCTGTTCCAGTATACTCTAGTGAAATAATTCACATATGGAGAATAGTTAATTTTGACCTCATGACAAAATCGCCCATACTTTGAGTAGGTTAGCTTGTCACCTTCTTCACAAACCATCTATTAAAAGACATAAAACATAATATTAAAAAGCTTATTAAGCTTATAGCAGAAATGCAATCAATATACAAATGACTATTATTTATATGAAAAAACACATTACTGCTAAACATTGTCTATAAAACATCTCACTGTTAGCAAACAGAGGCCTCTTCATAAGTGAGTCACCATGCCCACTATACTCCTGAACTTTCCATTGACACTGAGAAACCAGTATGAAGGCTTTCAATTTTTAAAAGATTTAATCCTAAAATTTAGAAGGCAATGTTTCCATAATCCATTATCACTGCTCGGAAGAACCTTATCATGCATCCTACCAAGGCTGACATTTTCTTTTGTATGTTGAAAAAATACTTCAAACTACTTTTAATAAGCTGTCCCCATTATTACATAACTCAATTATATTCTTACTTAAGTTCCAAAAATAAAGTTTAAAGATTATGAGTTTAAGTAAAATCATTTTTCTAAAATAAATAAATAAATAAATAACTTTCCAAATGGTTACTTACATGGCCATTTGCAATGTCTAATAAATCTTTAACCCTACAGCCTCTCATGGTTCCCACCTCATTGCAGATAGCATCCTCTACAATTAGGTAATTAGCTTTGTAAGATGTCAGTATTTTATAAATATCCTCAGCAGATCGCTTTGAATAGATTTGGTAGATCTGAAAGAATATAATTAAAATAAATTTTAAAGGACATTTAAAACTTCAGTAAATTGAAACCATACATCGAGCATCTACTGTGTTCTCAGTACTGAATATTACATATGAAAAGTATATTTATTTTTATAAATAAATATAAATATTCATTTATATATTTATCAAAACTCATGTTTGGATTATGTGGTGCTTTTTACCATAATTTTGCTGAACTTATTAGATAATAAGCTCTGGATCTTATTAGATAATAAAGCTTCTCAGTCTTTCTGAAATGTTAATATTGGATCAACTCTTGTTATCCTTCAAAAAGTAATAAAATCACAAATATTAGGCCCATAGTATCATATACTATTTGTCCTGAAAATACTGAGATTTGAAATCTAGAATGAATAAGATTCCAATCTATTTGCAGAATATCCAGTAGCTGCCTCCTACCTGTCACCATAGCTGCCTAGCTAGTACCCTCAGTTCCCATGTCAACTGACATGCTAGGAATACCTACTTTCAACATTCTGTGGCACACAGAATGGTAATACATCAAGAGGAAGTGTCTCTCTCATTTCACACTAAATACGTTTCAGTGGGAATAGTTCTATCCTATCCAGCCTATACCTATTGATAGTTATTTACAATTTTATTTATTTATTTATTTATTTATTTATTTATTTTTGAGACGGAGTCTCGCTCTGTCGCCCAGGCTGGAGTGCAGTGGCCGGATCTCAGCTCACTGCAAACTCCGCCTCCCGGATTCACGCCATTCTCCTGCCTCAGCCTCCCGAGTAGCTGGGACTACAGGCGCCCGCCACCTCGCCCGGCTAGTTTTTTGTATTGTTTTAGTAGAGACGGGGTTTCACCGGGTTAGCCAGGATGGTCTCGATCTCCTGACCTCGTGATCCGCCCTTCTCGGCCTCCCAAAGTGCTGGGATTACAGGCTTGAGCCACCGCGCCCGGCCGATTTTATTTATTTTTAAGTGTTAAGAAACTGAAACATACTATTAGGGCATTTATAAAAAAAAAAAAAAAAATTCTATGCAATTGTAGTAACATTACTGACAGCCTAGGGCAGAGTTTCTCAACCTTAGCACTATTCACAATTTTTTTTTTTTTTTTGAGACGGAGTCTTGCTCTGTCGCCCAGGCTGGAGTGCAGTGGCCCATCTCAGCTCACTGCAAGCTCTGCCTCCCGGGTTCACGCCATTCTCCTGCCTCAGCCTCCCGAGTAGCTGGAACTACAGGCGCCCGCCACTACGCCTGGCTGATTTTTTGTATTTTTTTAGTAGAGACGGGGTTTCACGGTGTTAGCCAGGATGGTCTCGATCTCCTGACCTCATGAGCCGCCCGTCTTGGCCTCCCAAAGTGCTGGGATTACAGGCTTGAGCCACCATTCCCGGCCTGCACTATTCACATTTTAGGCCAGATCATTATTTGTTGGGACAGGAGAGAGGATGTTCTCTGCAATGTAGATAAGCATTCCTGGTCTCTACTCACAAGATGCCCATAGAACCCCTCTTCCTGTTATGACATTGCGACAATCAAAAATGTCTCCAGACATTGCCAAATGTCCCCTCAGGGAACAATCATCCCAGGTTAGGAATCACTGGCCCAGGGGATTATACAAAGATTAGCCACATATTATGAATTAGAGACTCTAATTTAACTGATATGGTCAGCCAGGTGCAGTGTCTCACGCCTGTAATCCCAGCACTTTGGGAGACCCAGGCAGGCAGATCAATTGAGGTCAGGAGTTTGAGGCCAGCCTGGCCAACACGGCAAAACCCCATCTCTACTAAAAATATGAAAATTAGCTGGGCACGGTGGCATGAACCAGTAGTCCCAGCTACTTGGGAGTCTGAGGCAGAAGAATAGCTTAAACCTGGGAGATGGAGGTTGCAGTGAGCCGAGATCACGCCACTGCACTCCAGCCTTTATGAAATTCTCTAAAATTGAAAAACAGAATATTGGGAACTCAGGTTCAGTTCATCATTGCTTTCAGATATGAAGTTAACATTTAAATTCATACCATACAAGAGCGAGACTCCATCTCAAAAAAATAAAATAATTAAAAATATAAATAAATAAACAAATGGCCGGGCATGGTAGCTCACGCCTGTAATCCTAGCACTTTGGGAGGCAGAGGTAGGCAGATTGCTTGAGCTCAGGAGTTCAAGACCAGCCTGGGCAACATGGTGAAACCCTGTCTCTACTAAAATATAAAATATTAGCCAGGCGTGGTGGCGTGCGCCTGTAGTCCCAGCTACTCGGGCGGTTGAGGCAGGAGAACTGTTTGAACCTGGGAGGAGAGGCTGCAGTGAGCCAAGATTGCGCCACTGCACTCCAGCCTGAGTGAGACTCATCTCCAAAAAAAAAAAAATTGTAATTAAAAATAAACGATACGGTCTCATTTATGAAGTTCAGTTTGGATTTTAGCTTAACAACAAGTTTACTTAATACCTGCTATGTGCTACATACCGTAGAGAAAGACAAAGGTTTGAAAAACCGTGGTTACTTTTTCTCATAGAAAAGTTACATAAAACTTAAAACTCTAAAATGTTTAAATTAAATTAGAACCTAACTAGAACTCTGACCTAATTACAAGTAACTCTGAAATACCATATTAGAAAAGACCAATCAAAAGAAAACAAAGTCACAGAGTTGGTTGTTTTAAATCCACAAAAAATAAAATTCAGGAATATGCCGTCTATATTTTGCCTAAGCAACTCTATGTTTTGGAAGTGCAGCAAATACTCATCAGAGATGGCTGCTGTCTCTGGAGGAATCATTCTCAGGTAGATCTCCCCATCTCTGATCTCTCCCCTGCCTGCTTCAATCTGTTCTTTCTGCCATGACCATAGTTAAAGTCTTCAAAGCAGATCTAATCATTCCACTGCCAGGTTTACTAAAAGTCATGTCTCTTAACTGCTTCAAGGATAAGTCTAAATTTTTCAGCATGATATTCCAGGTCTGTCAGAATTCAGCCTCATTTTCTTTTCCAGTTTCAAGATTATACAAATTCCTTAGCTCATGTTACTTTTTCAGCCTGGAATCATATCTATTTCTTTTCCAAACAAGTTTCTAATCATCCTTCAAAGCCCAGATTGAGGGACTGCCTTTTATGACAACTTCTTAGATTTTTGTAGGCAGAATTGTTTGACTGTTCCTGCTTTTTTACTCCTCTTTGTACCTTGTGTGTGTCCATGTGTATGTGTATGCATGCAACGACCACTTAATAGTACAAAGTAATAACATAATAGCTAACTTTAAAATTTTACTGTGTTTCAGGCATTGTACATTATCTCATTTAATTCTCACAAGTAGGAGGTGAGAACTATTATTCTCACCGAATCTCCAGATTTAGTAATTCACTCAAGGTCACAAAGCTGATAAACAGCAGAGCTAGCATTTGGGTTCAGGTACTCTGATTCCTGAGTCTGCATTCTTAATCTCTATATTACTGTATGTCTTCCTTAACTTAGAATATGCTTAAAAACTGTATGAAATTATCTAAAATTGAAAAACAGAATATTGGGAACTCAGGTTCAGTTCATCATTGCTTTCAGATATGAAGTTACCATTTAAATCCATATCAAACATTCAAAATAATATATTATCTAAACTATAATTAGATACCATTCTAATGTTATACTGAGTCAATAACTGCCCATTTATTAAAAAATAAATTAGTGTTTTATAAGCAATAATAGAACTTCAGCTGAGAAAGACAAAGTGTAGTACCAAGACATTAATTGACAGTCTTCTTTTAAAAATTGGATTGAGGGCTGGGCACAGTGACTCATGCCTGTAATCCCAGCATTTTGGGAAGCCAAGGCAGGTGGATCACCTGAGGTCAGGAGTTCGCCACCAGCCTGACCAACATGGTGAAACCCTGTCTCTACTAAAAAATACAAAAATTAACTGGTCATGGTGGCAGGTGCCTGTAATCCCAGCTACTCGGGAGACTGAGGCAGGAGAATCACTTGAATCGGGAGGCAGAGGTTGCAGTGAGCCGAGATCGCACCATTGCATTCCAGCCTGGGTGACAGAGCAAGACTCTGTCTCAAAAAAAAATAAAAAATAAAAAATAAAATAAAAATTTGATTGAGAACAATATTTTAAAAAGAATGTTAGCCAGCTGTGGTGGCGCGTGCCTGTAATCCCAGCTACTCAGGAGGCAGAGGCAGGAGAATCACTTGAACCCAGGAAGCGGAGGTTGCAGTGAGCCGAGATTGTGCCACTGTACTTCAGCCTGGGTGAATTAAAAAAATGTTAGCCGGCTGTGGTGGTGGGTGCCTATAATCCTAGCTACTCAAGAGGCTGAGGCAGGAGAATCGCTTGAACCCAGGAAGGGGAGGTTGCAGTGAGCTGAGATTGCACAACTGTATTCCAGCCTGGGTAAAATATTACACATTAGGTCCCTTGACACTTTGTGGAATATTAGATATTTTTCTTAGAAACATATCAATATTATTCATAAAACAAAGAACTTAATATTTTAATTTTGGGTTTCCTCTTGGTTAAATGTATTATTAATTACACAGGTTTTCCAAAATAGAAGTTAATTAACTCTTTTAAAATTGTTTGGACTTTCCTAGCTACCTAGAAGCATACGTATACTGCAGACTATGCTAAAATACAAAGTGCTGGAAAAGAGATCCAAATGTAGAATTCAAAATGCCTTACATTTTCATTTCTCTTGAGAAGATCATCATCATTGTATAGAGGCAAACTTGTCACCATCCATCCAGTGCATAATTTAATCGCACCCATTAACTGTGGACTCCCTGCAAACACAGCTGCAACTGGAGCTTGCCTTCTGCAAAGAACCATAAAGATTTGCACACTGAAAAGGCAAGTATACTATTTAGATCACTGATCTATATCAACTCTGAAACACCAGACAACTTACAATGTTTATACATTTAAATTTCAATATCAGTTTTCATTTCATTTATGGATTCATTAAAAAAAAAAAGGGCACCTAACTATGCACCAGACACTTGTGCTAAAGATACAGAAACTTTTCTAAAAAGAGGGAGCAGGGGGAAGACAATAAGAAGTAAACATATATATTGGGTGGTGATAATATGATTAAAAATAATGCAGAGCAAGGGGATAGTAACCAGAATATATTATTTTAGATAAGGTGGCTAGTTCAGTGGTGATACTGCGAATTCTCAACTCCTTCTTTTGCAAATTAACTACCTACAACCCAACTTCTTCCAAACCCACCTCTCCTTCTGCTCCTTCTCTGTCTTTACCCATGTGTCTGTCTCCAGGTGGAAAATATAGGACTTCTCCACTCTGAATCATTATCCCAAGTCCCAGACAGATGCTACTTGCAAGGTGGAAAACCTACAAGCAGGTCCCAAAGGGCTGTTCTAATACATTCACTTATTTATTCACTGTCTGAATTTAACATTAAGCACCCACCTCTATGTGCTAGGGATGGTGCCAGGCTATCGAAAGAAAGAGATGGCATATATGGCCATAGTCCTCAACAGTGAGGAAGCAGATATAAAACACAGTAATTGTACCCAGTAACATAAATGTTCAATAGGTAATTGTTTGGGCCTTTCCTGTCTTTGAAAATACTGTGGTAAATCATACAGAGATGTAACTTCCTCTTTTGTTAATGACAACACAAGGCAGTATTCAACAATAGCAAACAGAATTCACAAAAAGTATTAATGGGCAATAGTTAAGGATGATCTAAAGAAAATTATTTTTATAAAATAGAAGATATGTTATAGTAACAAGACATTATAATAAAACCTATTCTTGTTTCTGTATACCTATTCTATAAATCAATTAAAAATTTCTAGAAATACTTTTTGTCTTTTTTCCCATATTTTTCTGGTCTTTTTTGATAGTATTTCATCACTTTTTCATGTCTTCTTATCTTCTTTTATGTCTTTAATAAATTTCAATGTAGTTATTTCATAGTCTCCATCCATGGAATAGACTGGTTACAAAAATGGCCACAATAATTCCTCTCCCTATGGTCATGGTCTTGGAGGGAACGCCAGTCATAATCATGTGACTTGCTTTGGCCAATAGGACAATAGTAAGCACCGTGTAAGCAGTGACTTAAAACATGCTTGACATTGAGAATTGCCCTCTCTTGCTGCTCTTGGGAATTCTACAACTACCATCTTGTAAACAAGCCCAAGCTAACCTGCTAGATGATGAGAGACAGAGGGCCAAGTCAGTTTGATCCCCTCGGCTGACACAGAGCCAACCCTAGACTTGTGACAGAGACCCTGCCAGACTATCCAGTCCCAGTGGAGCTGGCCCAGACCAAAAGAATCCTCCCCAGCACCCTAACCCTGCTAATTCTCAAGATGGTGTGGAATAACACATGTTTATTGTTGGTAAGCCACTAAGTTTTGTGGCATTCTGTTATGCAGCAAACCCTAAATGATGACACAAATTTTATTATCAGAAATAGCTAGAGGTCTAATTCTGCTGTTTATGACAAGCTTCGTTGAACTGCTTATGTGTTTTATAATTTTAGAGCTTACCTTCATGAAACTTTACTTATGGAATCCTGTATAACATGGGTTGAAGATGTGTCATGCATTCCAGACCAACCCCAAACCACTTTTAATGCTAATTTCTTAATTTGGGGTTTCTTAGATTAGACAAGCCTAATTTCAAATTACACTAGACAAGTATAATTTCAAATTATAAACCCACATGAATTCAGAACCATTGCTATATATTGAGAGGGGAGAATTTTTCTGACCAAGAGATGAATGCGAGAGAGACATGCTTTCTTACCTTCTTTCTCTACTGTCTGGTATCTTGCTATTCCATCCTTCCACTGACTAGGTATTTGCTCTTCTATCCTTTCACTGTCAGTGTAGCCTTCTGAGGGTCCCTGAGTTACATATGTGTGTGTTGGGGGGTTCTCAATTCCAATTCCCTGCTTCCACAGGCCTAAGACCACATCTCCTGTCCTGTGTGGGCATTAAAATCTAAAACCCCTGGTTATCAAAGCTAGTAATCCACTGACAATTCACCTCCAACACAGGCCAGAATAAGCATCCCCTTGACTCTCTAAATAAAAGGATAGCTCTTCTTTTTTATCCCAAACACTTAGTTTGACAATGGCACTTTCAAATCTCATACCGACCAATGCTATATTTTCAAGCCCATGGAGATGAGCAGAAAATTAGAATCACTAAGTCCAACAAAACCTAAATATCCCTAAAACTCCTGAGTTTGATGAAAAAATTTGGAGAAGTATTAATTTATTATTTCCTGTGAATTCATTAGATAGCATGCAGTGATTAATTAATAGCTTAATAATAGTCTTGGGCACTTCAATCCTTACTTTATCCAGGTCATAAGTTCCACTGTATCTGGGTCATAGAATTCCTGTAGTTCCATTAATTCTGTCATTAATCTTGGAAAAAACTAAAATGCAAAAAAAAAAAAAAGCCCCAAAAGGTATATGTCAGTAATTAGAAAGTTTAAAACTGTTCCACAGTATTTCAAAAGACTAACAGACTAACTTAAGGCAAATGATATTACAACACCTTTCACATGGAAAAAATGTCATGATGGATCTCTTTGCTTTCCTTCAATGGCCTGCTTATTTTTCTCAATCTAAATAATCTATTTTATGGTTAGTTCACTGCTTTGACTCAATAAATAATTTTGTCATTACCAAACAATAATAAATTGATCATCAGTTGTATCTTTCAGGCACACACAATATAATTAAATAAATAAATTTTCAGTTCCAATAATTTGCAGAATTTATATCATTTCATAGATGATAAAGTTTTGGAGTTAACAAAATGTGTTTTAATATTAATTCCTATTTACTCAGCAATTTCCTTTGCCAATTATAAACTGAATTAACACTAGCATTAGACTGCAGAAAACAGCATCAGGTGGCATTCTAGAAATGTTTTAGCTCTTCTACAATGTTCCTAATAACAAAAAAAATTAAGCATTACTAAGAATATTACATTTTATTTTGTTAGGATAGTGTCTCAACATGTTTCCTACCCACACATATAAATTTATCACTACCCTTGTAGATAAAGTACATTTTATTAATATAAAAATCTAATTTTTTTACCTCTTTCCATAAGCTGAGACCTATTATAGTAGGCACAGCCATGCTCAGAATAAGAGCCTAAAATATGAAAGCAAAAAGGATTACAGATAAATACATTTCAGAATACATGTTAGAGGTAACAGACACTACTCTATGATCAATCATATATCTCTATAGTTACACAAAATTTCAAAAAAAATGAAGTCAACATAGAACCTAGTTCACAGAATGAGACGGGTGAAAACTAATGACTTTCAAAGATATTAACTTGGAAGTAAAGTGAGACAAACATTTACTATAAAAATTTAACGCAGAACATTAAAAAGGTAATGCTCATAATTTCAAATGGCAAGTCAATATTTGAAAAATTTGCCAGAAATCTATGTTATACAGATCTTACAAAGGATAGTACACTACTATATGAAAAGCTATCAACAAAAAAGACAATGAATTAATACAAAAAAATAACTAATATACATCAGTACAACTAGTCTGTTAAAATAAGAATGCATAAACTCTCCTCGGAATAAGACTGGCAAAATATGACACGAATATTATTAAAGATAATGTATCATCGTCCTGCTATAATAAAACCTGTTCTGCCTACTGTCCCATGTCTTTTAGTGACCCTATGATCCACCAGAAACCTAGGAAACATCTAAGATATCTCCCCGTTCCTCATTTCCCCATACTCAATAAGCAGTGAGGCTTACTGATCTTCTAACTCCTTTTTTCATTCCAATCTGGCATACTGCTAATCGAATGGGCTTTGGAGTCAGAAAAACCTGGGTGTGGCTGGTAGCTCACACCTATAATTCCAGAACTTAGGGGGCCAAGGTGGGAGGATTGCTTGAGTCTAGGAGTTTGAGACCAGCCTGGGCAACATAGAGAGACCCTGTCTCTACAAAAAAAAAAATGTTTTAATTAGCTGGGCATGGTGGCATGTGCCTGAAGTCCCAGCTACTCAGGAGGATGAGGAAGGAGGATTGCTTAAGCCCAGGAGTTTAAGGCTACAGTGAACCACGACTGTGCCACTGCACTCCAGCCTGGGAGAGTCAGACTCTGTCTCAAAAAAAAAAAAGAGGGGGGGAAAGAAAATCCTGGGCGTGAATCATGATTTCCATACTTACAAGCTTGGCAATCTCAAGCAAGTTATTTAACCAATTAAAGCCTTGTTTTTATCTATAAAACAGAGAAAATCTAGGACTGAATAGCATGTGAAATGCTTCAAACAGTACCTGACATAATGAGCATTCAATAAATTGAAGCTTCAATTACTTCTACCCACTCTGCCTCCTCTGTGACTGAAGTTTGTTGCCTGTGGACTATCCTTCACAGAATTGTCAGAGTGAGCAAATAGAAAATACAAGTCTGACTCTCTCGCTTTCCATGAGGCGTACACATCCCAATTCCTTCCCACTGCCGACGGCATGAGAGCCAGCTCCGCAGCATGACACTCAGGGACCCCATGGCCTCACCTTCCTCCATTTCTCCAGTCTCATTTCTTGACCACCCCTACCTACCTCACACTTTGTGTGCCAAGAAAACTAAATATATTGTGCCTTTTTCCCAGTCCCTTTGATTACATCATGTTCTTTGCCTACCTCTGTGTCTATTCCTTCTACCATGAATATCCTCTCTTTCCCCTTCATTTGCCTAATAACTAAATATCTTTCTAATCTCAAATTGGAAAGCCTTATTTGAGTGCCTTAAAAAAAAGAAAAACAGAATTAAGTAGCCCTTCCCTATGTTCTAAAAGAACCCTATGAAACGTTCTTTTTGTTTTTTAGGAGGCAGGACAGGGAGAGAAGGAAGAGCTGGCAGGCTGGAGAAAGTGGAAGCGGAGGGAGCAGGGGACAGAGGGTCGAATTCTTATTATCTGTTTTTACGCCCAGAGATTATAATCCACTTGATGAAATTAACTATGCTATAATTATCTTTGTATCCCAAGCACACAGCAGGCAGAATGGAATGTTCCATTCATATAGAAAATATACCATAGTTCTAAATCAAACCAAGAAAGATATTATAAAAATTAATTCTTGGTGGCCTCTCACATTACTGATTCACTCACATTTTTACCTTTTATTTTTAAAGTTGTATGCATTAAAATGCATTACTTTCATAATCAGAATTTTTTTTTTAATTTTTATTTTTTGAGACAAAGTCTTACTCTGTTGCCAGGCTGGAGTGCAGTGGTGTGATTTTGGCTTACTGCAACCTCTGCTTCCTGGGTTCAAGCAATTCTCAATTCTCAGCCTCTCAAGTAGCTGGTACTACAGGCATGTGCCACCATGCCCAGCTAGTTTTTTTTGTATTTTAAGTAGAGACAGGGTTTTACCATGTTGGCCAGGCTGGTCTCGAACTCCTAGCCTCAAGTGATCCACCCATCTCAGCCTCCCAAAGTGCTGGGATTACATGCGTGAGCCACTGTGCCCAGCCCAGAAATTATTTTAAAAAATGTTTTGCACAGGATCTGTTTTTCTACCTGTAAGTCATCACGTAATTTACTCATGCTATTTCAATTGTATTCAATGTAGTTTCCACTTATTAGCTTCGATTTTATATAATCAGAAGAGAAACAAATACTTAACGCGAAATAATGACTCACCAACAATATTGGGTGTACAGTTCTTAATCGAAGCCACTTGAAAAGTGTCATCCAAAGTTCAGGAGAACATACACCAAATGCTGCTAACATGCACACATAAGGAATCCAGATGTACTTCAAGCTGGAAAACACAAATGGAGTCATACATGAGACATCCTGTGAACATCATTATTATCTAATTTCTCTCCTCTGAGCTCTTTCCTGCTACTTACAAAAATACCAAAATGTTAAGGGACAGTGAAAAAGCTTAGCCTCTAATTTTCAGCAACAGATTGTTATCTAGTTTTTTAAAAATCAAGCAGACATGTGGTCTAGCAAATTAGGATAAAATAAAAGCATTAATACTGATGAGGATGCAGGAAAATTGTATTATTGGAGAGAATATAAACTATTAGAGTTTTTTCAGAAGGCAGTTTGGTGAACTGGGAGTGGTGGCTCATGCCTGTAATCCCAGCACTTTGGGAGGCTGAGGTGGGTGGATCACTCGAGGCCAGGAGTTTGGGACCAGCCTGGGCAACACAGTGAAACCCCGTCTCTACCAAAACTACAAAAATTAGCCAGGCATGGTGACATATGCCTGTGGTCCCAGCTACTTGGGAGGCTGAGGCAAGAGGATCACCTAAGCCTGGAAGGCAGAGGTTGCAGTGAGCCAAAATTGCACCACTGTATTCCAGCCTGGGTGAAGAGCGAGACTCTGTCTTAAAAAAAAAACAAACCCTCTAAGATAGGCAATGCTATTTCTAGTAATGTAGCCTGAAAATATATTAGCATAAGAGTACAAAGATAGACATACAAGGGGTTTTTTTTTTTTTTTTTTTTTGAAGTGGAGTCTCACTGTCGCCCAGGCTAGAGTACAGCGGGTGTGATCTTGGCTCACTGCAACCCCCGCCTTCTGGGTTCAAACGATTCTCCTGCCTCAGCCTCCCAAGTAGCTGGAATTACAGGCACATGCCAACATGCCCAGCTAATTTCTGTATTTTTAGTAGAGATCAGGTTTCACCATGTTGGCCAGGCTGGTCTCAAATCCTGACCTCAATTGATCCACCCGCCTTGGCCTCCCAAAGTGCTGAGATTACAGGCATGAGCCACCGCGCCTGGCCACACACAAGAGTTTTAACTACAGCATTTTGTTTTACTAGCAAGACAATTGGAAAAAAAAAAAAAAAAAAAAAAACCTTCTGTTCTTCAGTAGGTATTGACTAAATAAATTATTATAAGAAACAAAAAAGCAAAATGCAAAACTTCATGTGCAATGTTAACCTAATTTTTGCTTTCTATTTTTTTTAATGTAGATATATGGCACAAGCAAAAACAACACCTGGGGCTGGGCGCAGTGGCTCACACCTGTAATCCCAGGACTTTGGGAGGCTGAGATGGGCAGATCACTTGAGGTCAGCAGTGTAAGACCAGCCTGGCCAACATGGTGAAATCCCATCTCTACCAAAAATACAAAAATTTGGCCATGTGTGGTGGCTCTTGCCTGTAATCCCAGCAAACTGGGAGGATGAAGTGGTGGATCACCTGAGGTCAGCAGTTTGAGACCAGCCTGGGCAACATAGGGAAACCCTGTCTCTACTAAAAATACAAAAAATTAGCCAGGCGTAGTGGCAGGTGCCTGTAGTCCCAGCTACTCGGGAGGCTGAGGCAGGAGAATGGTGTGAACCCAGGAGGCAGAACTTGCAGTGAGCTGAGATCATGCCACTGCACTCCAGCCTGGACGACAGAGCGAGACTCCGCTCAAAAAAAAAAAAAAAGTTAAAAATTTAGCTCTTAAATTAAAAAGATTAAAAATCAAGTTGTACAGAAAAAAATTAACTTGTATCATTAGAAGAAAATACATTACTTTATGTTGTAGATGTTAAAGAAAACAAAAGGAGCCCATCTCCGTAGGAGATGCCAACTGCTAAAAATAGAAGAGGAAAAGTTTAGAAAAATTAATAGATATCAGTGCTTAGTACAGATTATCAAGAAAAAGATAACATTTCAAGGGACAACTTTTGTAATAAATACTAAGGAGAACAACCAGACCCTTCTATGATATATTCCCTGGTGTCAAACTCAGAAGAGACTGGAAGAACCTGGGCCTAGAGTATAAATGTTAACCACTGCAGTTTTATAAAACAGCAAAGCCATGGAATGGAGAAAATAAAGAAATATCCAGGCTGGGTACAGTGGCACATGCCTGTCATCCCAACACTTTGGGAGGACAAGACAGTAGGATCATTTGAAGCCAGATGTTCACGACCAGCCTAGGCAACAAAATTAGACCCTGTCTCTACAAAATAATTTTTTTAATTTTCAAAAATTAAGAGGCTGGGTGCAGTGACTCACACCTGTAATCCCAGCACTTTGGGAGGCTGAGGCAGGTGGAACACCTGAGGTCAGGAGTTCGAGACCAGCCTGGCCAACACAGTGAAACCCCATCTTTAATAAAAATACAAAATTTAGCCAGGGATGGTGGCGCACGCCTGTAATCCCAACTACTCTGGAGGCTGATGCAGGATAATAGCTTGAACCTGGGAGGTGGACGTTATAGTGAGTCGAGATGGCACCACTGTACTCCAGCCTGGGCAAGAGAACAAGATCCTGTCTCAAAAAAAAAAAAAAAAAAAAAAGGGGAGAGCTCTGCTCTTGTTTGCAGCTGATCTAGGGGCACAATGGTTTTGGCACACACAAAAAAATTGGAATACGTGCATAGTTTTTTCACAATATGCATGTTTCACGAACTTTTTGAAGACTCCTTGTATTCACAGTGAAATATTTTTTAGCCTTGAAAAAGAAGAAAATCTTGTCATCTTACAATATAGATGAAATTTGATGATGTGACATAAAGGGAAATAAGCCAGTCACAAAAAGATAAACACTATAGGATTCCACTTACATGAGGTATCTAAAGTAAACAAATTCATAGAAATGGAAAGTAAAGGCCAGGCACAGTGGCTCCTGGCTGTAATCCCAGCACTTTGGGAAACCAAGGTGGGCAGATAACCTGAAGTCAGGAGTTCGAGTCCAGCCTGACCAACATGGAGAAACCCCATCTCTACTAAAAATACAAAATTAGCTGGATATGGTGGCGCATGCCTGTAATCCCAGTTACTTGGGAAGCTGAGGCAGGAGAATTACTTGAATCCGGGAGGTGGAGACTGCGGTGAGCTGAGATCACAGCATTGCACTCCATCCTGGCAACAAGGGTGAAACTCCGTCTCAAAAAAAAAAAAAAAAGAAAGAAATGGAAAGTAAAATGGTGATTATTAGAGGTTGAGGGTAGGGAAAACAATGAGAGCTGTTCATCGATATACAGTTTTAGATTTACAAGATGAAAATGTTGTGCAGATCTGTTGTACAACAATGTGTGAATATACTAAACACTGCTGAATTGTATACTTAAAAAACATTAAGATAGTAGATTTTATGTTATGTACTTTTTTATCATAATTTTTAAAAAACTTAAATGTGGCTGGGTACAGGGGCTCACGCCTATAATCCCAACACTTTGGGAGGTTGAGATGGGAGGATGGCTTGAGCCCAGGAGTTCAAGACCAGCCTGGGCAACATGGTGAGACCTCATCTCTACAAAAACTTTAAAAAATATTAGCCAGGCATGGTGACACCAGCCTGTGGTCCCATCTAGTTGGGATGATATCGTGGGAGCATTGCTTGAGCCTGGGAGTTCGAGAGCACAGTGAGCTGTGATGGCACCCCTGTACTCCAGTCTGGGCGACAGAATGAGACACTGTCTTTTTTTCTTTTTTTTAACTAAAGACGCGGCCTCACTCTGTCGCCCAGACTGGAGTGCAGTGGTGTGATCATGACTCACTGTGGCCTTGAACTCCAAGGCTGAAGCAATCCATCCACCTCAGCCTCCATAGTGGCTGGGACCACAGACGTATGCCACCATGCCTGGTGCTTTTTTTTTTTTTTGGAGAGACGGGGTCTTGCCATGTTGCCCAGATTGGTTTCAAACTCCCGGGCTCAAGTGATCATCGTCCTCCATCTTCCAAAGTGCTGGGATTATAGGCGTGAGCCACCACGCCCAGCCTCTCTCTCAAAAACACAAAAACAAGGCCAGGCGCGCCTACTTATGCCTGTAATCCTAGCACTTTGGGAGGCTGAGTCAGGCGGATCACCTGAGTTCAAGACCAGCCTGACTAACATGAAGAAACCCCATCTCTACTCAAAATATAAAATTAGCTGGGCTTGGTGGCGCATGCCTGTACCCAGCTACTTGGGAGGCTGAGGAAGGAGAATCACTTGAACTGGGAGGCAGAGGTTGCAGTGAGCTGAGATTGTGCCACTACAATCCAGCCTGGGCGACAAAGACTCTGTCTCAAAAAACAAAAACAAAAAACAAAAACTTAAACATAATTAACTTCAATGCTATTAAACATTCAGTTTCTATACAAGTAACCTAATTGAAGAATTTAAAGCTCCAAACTTCTAAAGATGGTAACATTTTCTTCTTTCATCTATTAAAGAAAGATGCTCCTATATGAATTACAACTTAAGAATAATTAACTTTAATATGCAAAGGGTTTCATATATTGCCTTTTGTTGTTGTTGCTGTTGTTGTTGTTTTCTGATACGGAGTCTCGCCCTGCCGCCCAGGCTAGAGTGCAGTGGCACAATCTTGGCTCACTGCAACCTCCGCCTCCTGGGTTCAAGTGATTATCCTGCCTTAGTCTCCTGAGTAGCTGAGATTACAGGTGTCTACCACCACACCCAGCTAATTTTTTTGTATTTTTAATAGAGACGGGGTTTCACCATGTTGGCCAGGCTGGTTTCGAACTCCTGACCTCAAGTGATCCGCTTGCCTCAGGCTCCCAAAATGCTAGGATTACAGGCGTGAGTCACTGTGCCCGGCCTCATATATTGCCTTTTATGAAATGTATTCCCATGCATCTTATTTATTGTGCAGTAAAGGATTAACCTTGCTTAAAAAGAGATTTGGCCTTTGCCCTCAACTTCTAGGTGGTAACCTCTTGCCTGATAAGAGCATCTTCGTTTGCCTGGGTCCTTTAGGTCATGCATAAGAGTCTATGCTAACAGTGTGATTTATGGTGGGAGCCTTGGGCCACGTGGTGTCAGTTCAACTTCTGAAGGGCTGAAGACTAATGTCAGCCACACAGGTGGTCAACCACGTATATATGACTGAGCCCCAGTACAAACCCTAAATTCAAAGCATGGGTGAGCTTCCCTGATTGACAGTACTCCGTGTGTACTGTCACACATTGTTTCTGAGAGGAAAACAGGTACTGTCTGCATGATTCCACTGGGAGGGAACAAATGGTAGTTCTGTGCTTTGGTGTCTCCTGGACCTTGTCCTATGGGTCTCTTTCCTCTGCTGATTTTAATCTGTGTCCTTTCACTGTAACAAACTGTAACTCGAGTATAATGACTTTTTAAAATCAAGCCTGAGGGTAGTTTGGAGGACTCTCAAACTTGCAGTTGGTGACAGAAGTAAGGATGGTCTTAGGAATTTCTGACCATTGCATTTACCTTCCTAGACTGTGTGCTTCTGAGGAAGGGGGATCCTATCATGTGTATTTCTGTATCTCCCACTATTGCTAGAAGAGTATGAAAAAACCAAAAACTTCTGCTGAATGAATACATTTTAATAAAGTTTATTAACAAGATGGCACGATTTTCTACAGAAGCAGGAAGGGAAGTTTAAAAACTAAATATTTAAAAATAAATAGCGCAAGATATGTTTCAAGGATTCAAATTCCCTAAACAAATATTACATAACTTATCTAAATATTAATATGTGAATACCTATTTTGCCTTAACAAATTTAAGGTATACAGAACACTAAAATGATCAAGCAAGTGAAATACAAAAATTCTACCTTATTGAACATTAAAAGGGGCCCTACATATATTTTGTAAAAGTTCATTTGCCATTGAAAGACAATAAAATAAATGAGGTAAGGAAAGGATAAAAGCCTACCACAGGCTCCCTGTGCTACAGCCAGACTGAGCTCCTTTTCCTCCCGCCAACAATGTGCCATGATCCTTCCTGCCCAGGCCTGGGCATATGCCATTCCCTCTACCTGCAGTACTCTTGCCTCTTTGGGTCACCTAGTCCACTCCTACTCACCCTTCAGTCTCAGGCACTTTTTCCTTAGGGAACCTTTCTGATCTCTTTAAGTCAAATTCTGTTTTATATGTTCTTATAGCACCATGTACATCTCCTTCACTTACCAAAGTTGTAATTTTATTTTTGTATGATTGACATCTGTCATCTCCATTAGGCCATAAGTTAAACAAGGTTAGAGACTGTCTGTTCCACTATTGGGCTTATTGAGGTACCTTTAGCACCTAGCACAACGCCTAGAACTTGGAATATGTTCAATAGTTTTTTAACAAATGAATGAATAAGTAAATGTCAGTTCGTTATACTATAAACATCTCTGTAAACTCCAGATAAATTAAGAAAGTTTATAGGTTTTGAGTTTTTATAAAGTTTTATAAATGTATTATTGGATGTATCTACTTATTATCATTAAAAAAGACAATCTTTGCTGGGCATGGTGGCTCACACCTGTAATCCCAACACTTTGGGAAGCCAAGGCGGGTAGATCATGAGGTGAGGAGTTCAAGACCAGCCTGACCAATGTGGTGAAACCCTGTCACTACTAAAAATACAAATAAATTAGCCGGGCATGGTGCTGTATGCCTGTAATCTCAGCTACTGAGGAGGCTGAGACAAAACTGCTTGAACCTGGGAGGCGGAGGTTGCAGTGAGCTGAGATTGCGCTACTGCACTCCAGCCTGGGTGACAGAACGAGATTCTAAAAAAAAAAAAGTCTCAAAAAAAAAAATAATTTTTGGTGGTTTTTTGGATTTTTTTTTTTTTGAGACGGGGTCTCGCTCTGTTGCTCAGGCTAGAGTGCAGTGGCGCAATCTCAGCTCATTGCAACCTCTACCTCCCAGGTTCGACAGACCCTGCCACCTAAGCCTCCCCAGTAGCTGGGACTACAGGCGCACACCACTACACCCAGCTAATTTTTGTATTTTTAGTAGAGACGGAGTCTCACCATGTTGGTCACACTGGTCTCAAACTCCTGACCTCAGGTGAGCTGCCTGCCTTGGCCTCCCAAAGTACTGGGATTACAGGTGTGAGTCACTGCTCTCGGCCAACAATCTTTGTAAAAACAAAGGGATCAAATAAAGTACACTTACCCTTCTATAACCATTGCAAGAGAACCCAATAAAATAGTGTGAATTACATGATAAATTATTTCTGGTCTTTCTCCAATTCGTCCATCTTCAAGAGTAACAGTTTCCTTCAGGGACTTACCACTACAAAAAGAAAATGTATTTTTTAATACTTTGAAAATATATTTGTAAAAAACCAAAGATACATTGTTTATCATCTTTGAAGTACATACCTAAAATTTTGTATTTCAACATAACAAAAAATATAGGTGATCTTTAAAATTTGAAAGTATATTGTACTAGTTAAATACCTAACATATATACTACGTTTCTGCAAATGGCTTTTAGAACCTGAAGACAACAAACTCTATGAAGACTAAACATGAATTTTCAGAAGAATAAAAAAGGGCTAGGAGCAGTGACTCACGCCTGTAATCCCAGAACTTTGGGAGGCCAAAGTGGGAGGACACTTGAGGTCAAGAGTTCGAGACCGGCCTGGCCAACATGATGAAACCCCGTTTCTACTAAAATACAAAAATTAGCCAGCCATGGTGGTGCATGCTTGAAATCTCAGCTACTCTGGAGGTTGAGGCAGGAGAATCGCTTGAATCTGGGAGGTGGAGGTTGCAGTGAGCCAAGACCGTGCCACTGCACTCCAGCCTGAGTGACAGAGTAAGACTCCATCTCAAAAAAAAGAAAATTATAATAAAAATTTGTAGGTTCTTCTTCCAAGATCAATTATGAATCAACTAGCAATTGCTAAATTAATATAGTTAAATCATAATTTGAATAAATTCTTAAAATTAAGAAATTATACACAATCTGTCTTTTCAAACATGATAAAAACATCAAAGGTTAGTCAAACTTTATAGCTTTTTTTTTTTTCTTTTTCTTTCAGAGATGGGGGTCTCACTATGTTGCCCAGGCTGGTCTTGAACTCCTGGCATCAAGCAATCCTGCGTCAGCCTCTCAGATTGTTGGAATTATAGGCATAAGCCACTGCCCCTGGCCTCAAACTTTGTAATTTAAAACTACTTATACTGCTAACTTTGTTTAAGTTAAATAGAATAAATTATTCTTATATTAAGTAAAAATTTGTACAAATTAGTGAATCGGTCTGTAAAAGTTTAACTGATTATTTAAACTTCAGTTATATATTAAGTCTCTAAGTTTAGGGCTGAGCACGGTGGCTCATGCCTGTAATCCCAGCACTTTGGGAGGCCGAGGCGGGTGAATCACCTGAGGTCGGGAGTTTGAGACCAACCTGACCAACATGGATAAAATATAAAATTAGCTGGGCGTGGCAGCGCATGCCTGTAATCCCAGCTACTCGGGAGGCTGAGGTAGGAGAATCGCTTGAACCCAGGCTAAGGTAGGAGAATTGCTTGAACCCGGGAGGCAGAGGTTGCATAGAGCCAAGATCGTGCGACTGCACTCCAGCCTGGGCAACAAGAGTGAGACTCTGTCTCAAAAAAAAAAGACAAAAACAAAAAACAAAACAAAACAAAAAACTAAGTTTAAATTTTTCTGGTCAACACAACCTTTTTTTTTTTTTTTTTTTGACAGGGAGTCTCACTCTGTTGCCCAGGCTGGAGTGCAGTGGTGCAATCTCGGCTCACCACAACCTCTGCCTCCTGGGTTCAAGCGATTCACCTGCCTCAGTCTCCCGAGTAGCTAGGATTAACAGTGAGCACCATCACGTCCAGCTAATTTTTGTACTTTTAGTAGAGATGGGGTTTCACCATATTGGCCTGACTGGTCTCAAACTCCCGACCTTGTGATCTGCCAGCTTTGGCCTGCCAAAGTGTTGGGATTACAGGTGTGAGCCGTCGCACCTGGCCAACACATCTTATAATGATATTTTCCATGTCAATGAAAAGAGAATGGAATTAGAAGCTCTAAAACAAATATAAAAATATTGGAAGAATATTAAAAATAAGTATTTTATATATTTCCATAATGTATATTAGTAATATGATTGATTCTCATAGGTACTTACTTAATCCTTCTAAAAATAACTTGCAACATAGAAAGAAAACAAATAATTAACACCAGGATATAGAAAGGTAATAAAGAAGACTGTGTCAATCGCAGAAAAAAATCTTGAGATGGTGCCTGCAGGGATTCTTGACAGAGGAGCCAATTCATTGTAAAATTCCTATAGAAGACAAAAAGCATGATATTAAATTCACAGACGTTTTAAACTACTGAACACAGAAGTATTTTTTTTTAATATCAGTAAAAACTAAGAAAAACCACATTTCCTAAACCCATTTACTTAAAATAGCAAGGTACTATCCTTTATAAATGACAATAATAGTAATGTATTAGTAAACAAAGCATGTGCTCTCACTAAAACCGCTCTAATGAATGTAAAACTGCTGCTTTTTATTGCCAAGTAACGTGATCATCTCTAAAGCCCAATATAGTTTTTAGAGAATTTTGGTTTCTATCTTTATCTAGAAGACAACAAACAATTCAGCTGGCTAACCTCTACAAATGCATTGTCAAATATGGTAGTTACTAGAGACATGAGGTTTTTAAACAGCTGAAATGTGGCCAATTCAAATTGAGACATACTTTAAGTACAAAATACACCCAGGATTTCAAAGAAAAGAAGAGCAAAATAATGATTTGAAAAACAAAATATATCCTTAATAATTTTTACATTGTTTACAAATTATTTTTATATATTAGAGAAAATATGTTAAAATTAATTTCACTTGCTTCTTTGTATTTTTAAAAATACAGCTACTAGAAAATTACAATTACATAAGTGGTTCACATATTATTATTGGATAGACCTACTCTATATTGACAGGTGTAACTCAACTAGGACCCACTTAAAAAAGAGATACCTACTTATTAAGATAAATCATAAAATTTGAAATGTAAACCTTTTGAGCAGTATGAATCAGGATAAACATTTTTTTGGCCCTAAGTATGATCAACAAGACTCCTGGTTGTATATATGTTTATCTGCGTCCTCATTTCTCATCCATCTCTAAACTCCTATCCTCAATCCCTAGCCGTGGGGAAGGATGTTAGAGATAGAGTGATGTTCAGGAGTGCTCACTGATGGATTGAGAATGTCTACTTAAATCATTGGGTTTAGAACAAAATGTTAAAGTTTAACAATGTGGTAAACACATTCTAAAGTTTTCTTTTCTTTTCTTTTTTAAGACAGGGTCTCACTGTCGCCCGGGCCGGGGTGCACTGGCACGATCTTGGCTCACTACGACCTCCACCTCCCAGGCTCAGGTGGTCCTCCTACCTCAGCTTCCTAAATAACTGGGACCAAGGCATGCACCGCCACACCCAGCTAATTTTTTTTTTTGGTTGGTTTTTTTGTAGAGACAGGGTTTTGCCATGTTGCCCAAGCGGTCATGAACTACCCGCCTCAGCCTCCCAAAGTGCTAGCATTACAGATGTGAGCCGCTATGCCCGGCCATTGAAGTTTTTTTATCTTTATTGTCTAAGTGGTATCAATTTAGGTAAACTTACATAATCTAAAACTTACTTAGTCATATTTAGTCCAAATTTTACTTCAAGGAATTTCAGCATGTGCCCATTTTCTTTGTGTGGGACAAACATCTAGAAGAGAAAAACACCAGTTAAACAAAGAAATATTAGCTATGCTTACAAGCACATGCTTTCCCCAATACTAGAGACAGAAAACACAAAAAGACTACAAAACAAAAATATGAATAAATAATATATGGTACGACTATGAAGCAAGGAGATTTACTGACATAAATCAATACCATGACCTTATGTTGAAGCATAAACTACAATGGGGTACTAAGAACATTTCTTTTTTTCTTTTCTTTTTTCTTTTTTTTTTAAGACAGTTTCATTCTTGTTGCCCAGGCTGGAGTGCAATGGCATGATCTTGGCTCACCGCAACCTCTGCCTCCCAGGTTCAAGCGATTCTCCTGCCTCAGCCTCCCGAGTAGCTGGGATTACAGACGTGTACCACCATGCTCAGCTAATTTTTCGTATTTTTAGTAGAGATGAGGTTTCACCATGTTGGCCAACCTGGTCTCAAACTCCTAACCACAGGTGATCAAGAACATTTCAACCTTATCCCACCAGGCTCAAGTAACTCATCCACTCTTCTAAACACTTTTCATTTGTCTCACTTTATTCCATATGGTGACATTTTTAACTTAATAAAAAATATGCATTCCCTTTTTCTTTTTAACTATATACAGAAAAGAATCAGAATCCTACTTTCTCACCCAATATGCTAGTTATGATTATTGTTTACCTCAAAATTATACTGTTCAAACTCTATTACTGTGCTACCTCATTATTCTCATTAAAATTTAGTCCAATATACTTCATTATTCATTTTGTTTTACTATATGAATCCCAGAGAGTTACTTACCTTCATTATAATATTCAATGTTATTGTCAGAGTACACACCAAGTAAAAATTAATCACTTTTATTATTTTAGCTACAAAACTTCCTTTCTTCACATTCAGCTGTGGAGGAAAAAGCATATGAATAAAGAAGTGAGGTGTTAAAAAATTAACAATTTAAAAAGTAATCATAAGAACGGCCGAGCACGGTGGCTCAAGCCTGTAATCTCAGCACTTTGGGAGGCCAAGGAGGGGGGATCACTTGAGGTCAGGAGTTTGACACCAGCCTGGCCAACATGGTGAAACCCGGTCTCTACTAAAAATACAAGAATTAGCTGGGTGAGGTGACACATGCTTGTAATCCCAGCTACTTGGGAGGCTGAGGCAGGAGAATCACTTGAACCCAGGAGGCAGAGGTTGCAGTGAGCTGAGATGTACTCCAGCCTGGGCAACAGAGCGAGACTCCATCTCAAAAAAAAAAAAATCAAAATAAGAACAATAAAAAGACAATTCTAATTACCTGAAGGCACTTAGCAAGCATTAAGGCTGCTACTAAACTTAGTAAAGGAGATACCAACAAAGCTGGATTCTCAAATTGCAGTAAATATCCCAGAAAGAGGGAAAATATGTAGATTTTATAAACTTCATAAACCTGTTGTGACAAAAATAAAATAAGTGAGAATAAGTTATATTTTATCATACATGTTTTCATTTGTTTTATTTAGATTTAACTATAATTATACAGTAAATGCTCTACTATAATTTAGGAAAGTATTATGCAAATGTTCAATCAATATTTTTAATGTTGGCCGGGCATGGTGGTTCACATCTGAAATCCCAGCACTTCGGGAGGCCAAGGTGGGTAGATCACTTGAGGTCAGGAGTTCGAGACAAGTCTGGCCAACATTGTGAAACCCGTCTCTATTAAAAACAAAAAATATTAGCTGGGCATGGTGGCGAGAGCCTGTAATCCCAGCTACTCGGGAGGCTGAGGCAAGAGAATCGCTTAACCCGGTAGGTGGAAGTTGCAGTGAGCCAAAATCGCACCACTGCACTCCAGCCTGGGTGACGGAGCAAGACTGTCTCAAAAAAAGAAAAAAAGAAAAAGAAAAAAGAAAAATCAGACGGGCATGGTGGCACACACTTGTAGTCTCAGCTACTCAGGAGGCTGAGGTGGAAGGATCGCTTGAGCCTGGGAGGCAGAGGTTGCAGTGAACTATGATTGAGCCACTGCACTCCAGCTTGGGTGACAGAGTGAGACCCTGTCTCCAAAAAAGTAAAAATAAATAAATAAAAATAAAATAAAATAAAAAACGAAAAGAAAAAAAATCAGTCAATAGCCAGAGCCACTTAAAAAAACAAAAAAAAGATACCTTGGTCAGGTGTGGTAGCTCATGCCTGTAATTCCAACACTTTGGGAGGCTGAGGCGGGTGGATCAAAAGGTCAGGAGTTCGAGACCAGTTTGGCTAACATGGTGAAATCCCATCTCTACTAAAAATACAAAAACTAGCTGGTTGTGGTGGCAGGCGCCTGTAATCCCAGCTACTTGGGAGGCTAAGGCAGGAGAATCGCTTGAAGCCAGGAGGTGGAGGTTGCAGTGAGCTGAGACTGAACCACCGCATTCTTGCCTGGACGACAGAGGGAGACTCCGTCTCAAAAAAAACCAAAAAGATACCTCACTGTTACAAGTTAGAACAGTAGTTACCCTTGGGGGTTGAAGTAATGACTGGGAGAGAGAGCATGATGGAGACTTCTGGGTGTTGGTAATGATCTATTCCCTTTTAAAATTTTTTTAGAGGTGGGGTCTCACCATGTTGCTCAGGCTGGTCAAATGATCCTCCCACCTCAGCCCCCACCTCACACAGCTAATTAAAAAATTTTTTTTGTACAGATAGGGTCTCACTGTGTTGCCCAGGCTGGATTTGAATTCCTGGGCTTAAGCAATCCTCCTGCCTTGGCCTCCCGAGTAGCTGGGACTACACACATGTGCCACCACACCTGGCTTATGTTCTATTTTTGATTTGGGTTCTGGTTCTACAGAAGTGTGCCAGTTACCAAATAACTCTCTTAGTTCCAAACCCCCCTTTCTATCCTTTGCCTGGCAATGCTGGGCCTAGGACTCTGCAATCTACATTTCTGCTTTTCCTGTCGGTTCCCTATGAAGCTCTGCCAATAGGAAATGCTAGAGGGAAAAGTGCAAGCCTGGAGGAGGAAGGAGCCTGCTCCTTCCTCTTGCTTCCTGATGACTTGAGGGTCCTGTGATCTCACCTCAAGGATGCTTCTTCAACCCAACAGAGCAATTACTTCCTATGGAAGCACTGAATGCAGCTGCAGTTTTCCCAACACTTCAAGAACCAGCTTCATCACATCTTCCAGCCCAAGAAACCCAAGACCAGTCAGACACAGCCACATCCTCAGAGGCCTGGGTCCCAATTCTGAAGGGCCCTACTTTTGAGCAAAGCTGGTATTTCTGAGCTCAAAAGTCTGAGTATCAGCTCTGTGAGGTCCTGTTCTATATTTCTACGTTTTAATAATTTCATATTTTTCCCTAGCAGTTAACTGCTTTCTGCGTTGTGATCTCTATGAAACTTTCAGGCTCTATTACCCTTTCATTTAGCAAGTTAATGACTTTATACTTGGTTAACAATTTATGTTAACTTCTCTTTGTCCAAATAACTTAAATGTTGTACGCATTGGGGTTCTCAACCATATGAGTGTATGGATGAAGAAAAGAGAGGTTTTAAGATACAATGCTATAAATACATTCATTCTCTGGATTTAAAATCATCATTTCAAAATGCCATAATACCTTGTCATTTTGCTTCAGTGAAAAGATATCTAGCAGGAATAGAGATATTGCTTGAAGAAACAGGAGATAATGGCTATACTCCCACATCATCATAAATGTGTAAGTTGAAGCACTCATCAACAAGTAGCAAAACCTCTAGGGAAAACAAATGAAAGAAACTAAATATCAATAGCTTTATTACGATAAAAGCCTATGAGACTGTTACCTCAAAGTTGCAGCTCTGTTACTCGTTCAACTTTAAGCTATATAATTATTGAAACTTTGTTTTTAAATCACATAATTATTATTAAATCCTTATAAAAACAACAAGAGCTCAAATAAGGCACTTGAGAAAAATCAACCACTTGTCCTTCAATGTTCAACATCACATTGAGAATTTCAGAAAGACAAAGGGGAAGAAAAAGAAAATTCAATATAATTTTCTTTCATCCCAAAAGAAGTAAAGCAATAAATATAAGAAAGTGGTGGCGTTTACTAGACCTGGCTGGTGAGCTTTTGTTATTGTGGAAGCAACTCCTTTTGCTGTGAAAATAATATTTCACTTCCATGGTGCTTCAAGTTTTAATAATTTCCTAATTTTCCCTTTGTTCCCTCAGTCCTAGTGGTGGTAGCTGTTTTCTGTAGTTGTGATCTCTATGAAACTTTCAGGCTCTTATTACCCTTTCATTTAGCAAGTTAATGACTTTATACTTGGTTAACAATTTATGTTAACTTTTCTCTGTCCAAATAACTTAAATGTTGGTATTCATCATGGTTCAAACTTATTTTCTTCATTTCAATAGTCTGTTTACATCTCAGCCTATTCCACAGCCTCTGTCTTTGCTTTTTTCACTTCCTGTCAACAGAAGTGTTATCTTTCCCCATTGCCTGTACTGTCAGCCATATTAAACTTTCAGCTCTTTTCTTCTGCTAAATACTAAACACAAGGGATGTCACTGCCCTTGCTGAAAATCTGCCTAGGTCAATTCTGTCCTTCAAAATGTCATCCCCCATGTGATCCCTTAGCAAGTTACCAAGTCTGTGACAAATCCCATAACATATTCAACAACAGCCTCTCCTTCTTCCATGGACCTACTTTTAAACTCTGGATCCCTCCACTGGCTGTAGTGTCAAATGACCTTGTTCAGATAAGAACAGTGAAGGAGAAGGACAATAAAGGTCAGTCAAGAAACCTAAGAACTGTGCTCTCTAAAACTAAGTCTTTCATACTCAGCTGACTACACTCAAGGATAAATTCCAGAGTCAGAAATACCTCAGCCTTCAGCAGATAAAATAATTTTCCAGCATCCTGAATTAGATTAAGACCAGAGAACCAAATGTAAGAAATGGCAAACTTCCACCTGTTGGGCAAATAACACCAACTGCAAAGCACAGAAGGGCTCTAACATAAGCTTCTGCTCTTCCTGTCACCATAGCTATGCGCAGGGCAAGGGTTCTGGAAGCCTTCTAATGTGGAACAATCAGAGCTGTAATAACCAGACCTGACACCATCATTCCCAGAGAAACCAATTCCAGAAAGCAATGAAGGCTCAAATCTAGACCCAGCCTAATTAACGTACCGGGCATTTGGAGATTAATTCTGAGATTCTGGGGGAAAGCTACAACACACTAAAACAAATTGTTAATTCCAAAGGTTGACTCTCAAACTACTCTAAGAGCACACAGTAAAAATGTCTTAAAGAGAGAACTATGTATCAAACACAACCTGTAGAGTTAGCAAAGTTATTTCTTTCCCTGAGCATTTTCAAGGTTCTGTGCAGTCTTGCCTACCCTTGACCTTGCTTGCAGTGTCTCACAGGGCTTCACTTTCACTGTGCCTGTAGTGTGAACTTTTTACACATAGGATTTATGTGATACATCAAACAGGTTTCAATAATCAACCACAAATGTTTCTTAATGACTCCAGATAACTGCACAAAAGACTGAACTGAACTTGGATATCCTGAGGCAACTGGGACGACGAAACTTAGCCTCAACAATGGGAAGCAAAATACAAAATACGTGATTTTTTAAAAGTATATGGGCTGGGCACGGTGACTCACACCTGTAATCCCAGTACTTTGGGAGGCCGAGGCAGGCGGATCATCTGAGGTCGGGAGTTCGAGACTAACCTGACCAACATGGAGAAACCCCGTCTCTACTAAAAATACAAAATTAGCTGGGTGTGGTGCAGCAGGCCTGTAATCCCAGCTACTTGGGAGGCTGAGGCAGGAGAATTGCTGGAACCAGGGAAGCAGAGGTTGTGTTGAGCCGAGATCGCACCATTGCACTCCAGCCTGGGCAACAAGAGCGAAACTCCATCTCAAAAACAAACAAACAAACAAAATACATGTAAGCTGAGCACAGTGGCTCACACCAATAGTCTCAACACTTTTGAGAGGTGAAGCCAGCTGGACTTCCTGGGTCCAGTGGGGACTTGGAGAACTTTTCTGTCTTACAAGAGGATTGTAAAACACACCAATCAGCACTCTGTAGCTAAGACTGTAAAATGCACCAATCAGCACTCTGTAAAACCGCACCAATCAGTGCTCTGTAGCTAGCAAGAGGATTGTAAAATGCACCAATCAGTGCTCTGTAAAACGCACCAATCAGTGCTCTGTAAAATGCACCAATCAGCGCTCTGTAAAGTGCACCAATCAGCGCTCTGTAAAATGCACCAATCAGAAGGATTCTAAAAGTAGCCAATCGCAGGGGATTGAAAAATGGGCACTCTGATAGGACAAAAACAGAACATGACAGGGGACAAATAAGGGAATAAAAGCTGGCCACCCCAGTCAGCAGTGGTAACCCGCTTGGGTCCCCTTCCATGCTGTGGAAGCTTTGTTCTTTCGCTCTTCACAATAAACCTTGCTACCACTCGCTCTTTGGGTCCGTGCCATTTTTAAAAGCTGTAACACTCACCCCGGCAGTCCGCGGCTTCATTCTTGAAGTCAGCCAGACCACGAACTCACTGGAAAGAACCAACTCCAGACACACTCTGTGAGGTCAAGGCAGGTGGATCACTTGAGGCCAGGAGTTGGAGACCAGCCTGGCCAACATGGTGAAACTCCGTCTCTACTAAAAATACAAAAATTAGCTGGGTGTGGTGATGTGCGTCTGTAGTCCCAGCTGCTGGGGGGCTGATGCATGATAATCGCTTGAACCCAGGAGGCGGAGGTTGCAGTGAGCTGAGATTGTCCCACTGCACTCCAGCCTGGGCAACAGAGCAAGAGACTCTCCCTCTCAAAAAAAAAAAAAAAAATGCATGTTGCTAAAATACTGCTCAGTGATGGCAAGGAGCAAAGTATTCACACGTAATAACTCACATGGATGTCAAGGGCATTATTAGGCTAAGTGAAAAAAGCTAATCTTAAAAGGTTACATACTACATGATTTGATTCCATTTATATAACCTTTCAAGGTGACAAAACTATAGTGATAGAGAACAGATCAGTGGTTGCCAGAGGTTTGGGTTAGAGGAAGGATGTGATTATTAACGTACACAAGAGTTTCTTAGTGGTGAGAGAAGAGTTCTATGTCTTGATTATGATGACGGTTACTCAAATGTATACATGTGATAACAACTAATATGACTATACACCCACTTTCCACAAAAGCAGTACATGTAAAACCTGGTGAAATGTGAAGAAAGTCAGTGCCTGAATTAACAGTATTATATCAATGTCAATTTCTTGACTTTGACAAGGTATTAAGGTCATGCAAGATATTATTTGGGGAAGATGGGTGATGGGTCAAAAATGTAGTAAGCCTAGATCATGCCACTGCACTCCAGCCTGGGTGACAGAGCGAGTCCATGTCTCAAAGAAACAAACAAAAAGGTAAATATAAAGAAACTTAGGCAGTTCATTCCGCTATACCAAACTCTTTTTTTTTTTAAGAGACGGAGTCTTACTCTGTTGCCCAGGTTGGAGTGCAGTGGCATGATCTCAGCTCACTGCAACCCCCACCTCTGGGTTCAAGCGATTCTCCCACCTCAGCCTCCCAACTAGCTGGGAGTACAGCTGTGCACCACCACACCCAGCTAATTTTTGTATTTTTAATAGAGACGGGTTTCGCCATGTTGGCCAGGCTGGTCTCGAACTCCTGACCTCAGGGGATCTGCCTGCCTCAGCCTCCCAAAGCGCTGGGTAATATTATAGGCGTGAGCCACCACACCCGGCCTATACTAAACTCTTTTACTTAACAATTGAAGCACTATTCTTCTCTAAGAGACAGCTGTACAATCAAACAGGAAAATATTCAATCACAGACTCTCTGACTATTAAAGAAAATATACTCTTGGCCAGGTGCAGTGGCTCATAGCTATAGTCCCAGCACTTTGGGAGGCCAAGGCGGGCAGATCATTTGAGGTCAGTAGTTCGAGACCAGCCTGGCCAACATAGTGAAACCCTGTCTCTATTAAAAATACAAAAATTAGCTGGGCATGGTGCTAGGCACCTGTAATCCCAGCTACACAGGAGGCTAAGGCAGGAGAATTGCTTGAGCCTAGGAGTCAGAGGTTGCAGTGAGCAGAGATCATGCCATTACACTCCAGCCTGGGTGACAGATAGTAAGACTCTGTCTAAAAAAAAAAAAAAGAAAATATACTCTTGTGCAGAAAGATCTTTATACAAATACAACATAAAGGAAGATCACAAAGCTGAAATGTGTTCATGTTATTTTATACACAAAAAAGGAAATGCTAGTTATAAAAATGAAATAATAAAGTTTGCTATGCTCAGGACACTTGTCACCACTGAAAGGAGAAAACAATAGTACATTTTTTCAGAGATTTTTATAAAGGACCCACAAGTACATCCTGTTTCCTGGACAACCAGGTTTAATAATCTCTGCTCTCTTTTTCTAGCCAGGAATTCTTAACCCCAAATAAGAAGACTATCAAAGGACTGTTACAATCCAGTCAATTTCAATATAACTGGTTGCCTCTATAATCATTTTATGCATTTTAAATAATTATTCTTTTTCTTTCTGGAGGCAGGGTCTCACTCTGTTGCCCAGGCTAGCAGGCAGTGGTTCGATCTCAGCTCACTGCAACCTCCGCCTCCCAGGTTCAAGCGATCCTCCCACCTCAGCCTCCCAAGTAGCTGGGATTACAGGTGTGTGCCAAGTAGCTGGGATTACAGGTGTGTGCCATCACAGCTGCCAATTTTTGGAATTTTTATTAGAGATGAGGTTTCACCATGTTGGCCAGGCTGGTCACAAACTCCTGACCTCAAGTGATCCTCCCACCTCAGCCTCCCAAGTAGCTGGGACTACAGGTGTGTGCCATCACAGCGGGCTAATTTTTGAATTTTTATTGTAGACAGGCCACCATGTTGGCCAGGCTGGTCACAAACTCCTGACCTTAAGTGATCCGCCCACCTCAGCCTCCCACAGTGCTGGGATTATAGGCATGAGCCACAGCGCCTGGCCTAAAATCATTATCCTGAGACAGACTCTGCAGGCTTTTTCTAACTGCCAAAAGGGCTGTGGCAACAACAATAACAATAACAATGTAAGAATCTAAACTACCAGGGAAAGTCTCCTGAAATTTTTACCAACCTACCTATACCTCAGTCACAGAAAACATGAGAAGAAACAGAATATGCAGGGCTGCCATCCAAGTTAACACTGCTGTCATTTGTGGTCACTCTACATCTTGTTTAATATATCTTTAAATCATGGCGATTGAAGGCCATCAATGTTCCAGAAGTCCGAGAAGTGATAAAATAACAGTGGAACAGATTTTCAAAATAAGAGATTCTTCATATATTTGTCAAGTTAACTATATTAAAATAATAAAACATCTCCTTTCTCCTTGTTGACTGTTAATCAGATTACAGAGTAACAGTGTTGTAAGAAAACTACCTAACTATACCTTTTAATATGTAGTAACCAGGCTTCATTAAATACGATTTAATTCTTACTAGGACTAAAATTTATTTGTTTTATGTACCACATTTGCAATACATTAGAATTAGCTGCAATGGATAAAACAGATTTGTATCTTACCTCTCCATAAGTATTTAAGTTGCTTTTTAAATAGCCTGTAAGTGCAGCAATTTGGCATGCAAAATATGGTAGTGCCCAGTTTTCTCTTAAAGGAATGGAGTATTCAATTCTTGTTGTATCTACCCTAAAATAAACCACAGATGAATAGTAAATAAGACATTATATTTGTGTTACATTATACTTTTCAAAGTACTTTAACACAAATCTCATTGTTCTCCATAACAATCCTGTGAGGCAGGCATAGCCAGATCCACCATTGTCTTTTTTTTTTTTTTGAGATGGAGTCTATCTCTGTCGCTCAGGCTGCAGTGCAGTGGCACGATCTTGGCTCACTGCAACCTCTGCCTCCAGGGTTCAAGTGAACCTCAGCCTCCTGCGTAGCTGGGATTACAGGCGCGAATCACCACACCTGGCTAATTTTTATATTTTTAGTAGAGACTGGGTTTCACCATGTTGTCTCAAACTCCTGACCTCAGGTGATCTACCCGCCTCGACCTCCCAAAGTGCTGGGATTACAGGCATGAGCCACCACGCCCAGCCCAGATCCACCATTGTCTATACATCATCTTTGAGCAAATTAATAGGATCTCACCCCCGGCCCCCGTCGCCCCCAAGAAGCTGCAGAGCTACTGTGCACTACTTGGTGAACAGATGGGCCTCTGTGAGAGATTGAAAAAGGCATGCCTTCTCTAGGTACACCCCATGCTAAGGTACACAGCTTGTTGCACAGAGTACCCCGGATTTCAGCCCCACCCTCCCTTCCCTTAACCAGATGGCTACCCTTCACTAGAGTACAATCTGCACCATATAATTAGCAGCCTGGCAGATCCAAAGTTCTTATTCCCCTTTACAAAAGGAGTATGAAGTTCAGAAATGTAAGGTAATTTAATCAAGGCCATCTAGCTAGTAGGTGGCATAACTGGGATTAAAATGCTCATCTTTTGATATCTAATTCAATAATCTTTTCAGTCAGCAGGTTCCCCAGAATTAATATCACAGTCTTTTATGTGATATACTTAGAGACTTGAAAATTCCCAGAATCAGAAATATAGGAATGTCAGGCCGGGGACAGTGGCTCATGCCTGTAATCCTAGCAATTTGGGAGGCTGAAGCAGGTGGATCACCTAAGCTCAGGAGTTCCAGACCAGCCTGGCCAACGTGGTGAAAACCCGTCTTTATTAATAACACAAAAATTAGCCTAGCGTGGTGGTGCGTGCTCGTAGTACCAGCTACTTGTTAGGCTGAGGCAGAAGAATTGCTTGAACCCAGGAGGCGGAGGTTGCGGACAGCAGAGATCACGCCACTGCACTCCAGCCTGGGTGACACAGCAAGACTCCTGAATCAATTTTCACTGAGAGCTTGTTGTGTCCTGTGCATATCCTCATACCACAATACCTCACACCTCTCCAGCAATCATAGATTTGGCTCTCTTACACTCAATAGCTATTTTCTACACAAAAATAAAGGTGCTATTGTTTTTTTTGAAAATTTATGAAAATTGCCGCCTAACTTGCCTAAGTAATAATGATTAGCATGCTTGCATGTTAACTTAGTTCCCTCAATGGCCAAGTGACACACTCCTGCATACTGGTATCAGAGTTGGTAATTATATTTCCAATTACACCAATCATGAACCACTGAATTGTTTGCAAATAATCAAAATTACAAATGTCACATCCTCACAGACCAAGAAGATAAAGTTGCAACAGCAATAAATCCAACCAGGCTCAGCATGTTATCACAGCCAAAAGAAACAAACACATACTTCAAAATGCCATGAAAACATAGGAACAAAAACATTTTTGAGAAAGCAATTTTCTCCTTCCATAATAGCAGCATATATAATAAATCCTAAAAATCATTTTTACTCATCTCTTTTCCTAGTCTCAGACCTCTAAACACTAATAACTTTTTTCTATTCATAACAGCAGCATATATAATAAACCCAAAAAATCATTTTTACTCATCTCTTTTCCCAGTCTCAGACCTCTAAGCACTAATAACTTTCTTCCTATTCCCTCCCCAATTGCTGGAGTGCAGTGACACGATCATGGCTCACTGCAGCCTCGACCTCCCAGGCTCAAAGGATCGCCCCGCCTCAGTATCTCCAAGTAGCTGGGATTACAGGCACATGCCACCATGCCCACCTAATTTTTTGTATTTTTAGTAGAGCCAGCGTTATGACACGTTGCCCAGGCTGGTCTCAAACTTCTGGGTTCAAACAATCTGCCTGCCTTTGCTTCCCAAAGTGCTGGGATAACAGGTGTGAGCTACCATGCCCGGTAGCACAATGTACTTCCTTTTTCTTTTTCTTTTTTTTTTTTTTTGAGACGGAGTCTTGCTCTGTCACCCAGGCTGGAGTGCAATGGTGCAATCTTGGCTCACTACAATCTCTGCCTCCCAGGTTCAAGCGATTCTCCTGCCTCAGCCTCCTGAGTAGCTGGGACTACAGGTGCCCACCACCACGCCCAGCTAATTTTTCGTATTTTTAGTAGAGACAAGGTTTCACTATGACGGCCAGGCTGGTTTGGAACTCCTGACCTCATGATCCACCTGCCTCGGCCTCCCAAAGTGCTGGGATAACAGGCGTGAGCCACCATACTTTCTTAAGTCAAGTCATCTGCAGCCCTCTCTGTGATGCTTCAAAATAATATTTTGACCATTTTCTGTTTAGCACAATAGTTCAGTAGCTAAGCAAAACAAGACAAAAGAATTTCCTAGGAAGAAAGAGATAAAAACAGGGTAAAAAATAATTACACTTAAATATTTTTGTTCCTGTCAATATCTGTAATAATACTAATCACTATTATAAAAAATCAAGGATCTCCACTGCCTTATAATCCATTCAAGTATTTGTCCCTTACATAAATATTTTACAGGATCAAAACTCTTCAATGAATTTATATTCTGCTTTTTAAACTTAAATGTATTCTGCATGTTTTCCTTTCTTCATACTTATTCTTTTTTGAAAAATATTTTATTGTAAAAGCAATATATGTTTGTTAAAGAAATATTAGAAAATGTATACCAACAAAAAGAAGAAAAATCTTAAAACACCTATAATCTCACCCATTCAGAGGCTAACATTGTTAAATCTTCTGCCATAGCTTAGTCAGTACAGTACGATGAGGAAAAGAAACACAAGGAATCAAGTTGCAAAGGAAAGTAAAACTGTCGGGTTTTTTTTTTGCAGAAGATACTGTGTACATAGAAAACCCTAAAGAATCTTAAAAAGCCGGGCGCGGTGGTTCATGCCTGTAATTCCAGCATTTTGGGAAGCCGAGGTGGGCGGATCATGAGGTCAGGAGATCGAGACCATCCTGGCTAACACAGTGAAACCCCATCTCTACTAAAAATACAAAAAAATTAGCCGGGCACGGTGGCGGGCGCCTGTAGTCCCTGCTACTCCAGAGGCTGAGGCAGGAGAATGGCATGCACCCGGGAGGCGGAGCTTGCAGTGAGCCAAGATCGTGCCACTGCACTCCAGCCCGGACGACTGAGTGCGACTCCGTCTCAAAAAAAAAAAAAAAAAAATCTCAAAAAAATATCAAAACGAATAAATGAATTTAGCGAGGCTGTGGGCTATAAGGTTTCTATTTTTTTTTTTTTTTTGAGATGGAGTCCCACTCTGTCACCCAGGCTGGAGTGTAATGGCGTGATCTCGGCTCACTGCCACCTCCGCCTCCCGGGTTCAAGCGATTCTTCTGCCTCAGCCTCCTAAGTAGCTGGGACTACAGGTATGTGACACCACGCCCGGCTTATTTTTTTGTATTTTTAGTAGAGACGGGGTTTCACTGTGTTAGCCGGAATTGCCTCGATCTCCTGACCTCGTGATCCGCCCGCCTCGGCCTCCCAAAATCCTGGGACTACAGGCGTGAGCCACCGTGCTCGCCCTGTTTTTGCTGTTTTGAGATAGTTTCCCTCTTGTTGCCCAGGCTGGAGTCCAATGGTGCGATCTCGGCTCACTGCAACCTCCGCCTCCCAAGTTCAAGTGATTCTCCTGCCTCAGCCTCCCCGGTAGCTGGGATTACAGGCACGCACCACCACAATCGGCGAATTTTGTATTTTTTGGAGAGATGGGGTTTCACCATGTTGGTCAGGTTGGTCTCAAACTCCTGACCTTAGGTGATCCACCCACCTTGGCCTCTCAAAGTGCTGGGATTACAAGCATGAGCCACCACACCCAGCCAGCTGTGGGATATAAGGTTAATAGACACAAATCAATTGTTTTTCTATAAACTATCAATGAACATTAAAATTAGTTTTTTTGTTTTTTGAGACGGAGCTTCGCTCTTATTGCCCAGGCTGGAGTGCAATGGCGTGATCTTGGCTCACCACAACCTCTGCCTCCGGGTTCAAGCGAGTCTCCTGCCTTAGCCTCCCGAGTAGTTGGCATTACAGGCATGCACCATCACGCCCAGCTAATTTTGTATTTTTAGTAGAGACAGAGTTTCTCCACATGGGTCAGGTTGGTCTCAAACTCCCAAACTCTGGTGATCCGCCCACCTTGGCCTCCCAAAGTGTTGGGATTACAGGCATGAGCCACTGCGCCCAGCCTAAAATTACCATTAATAACAACATCAAAAAGATAAAATCTCTATGAATGAATCTTTAAAAAGATAGGTAAGATCTCTACACTAAAAACAAGAAAATTGGGCTGGGTGCAGTGGCTCACACCTGACACTTTGGGAGGCACAAACAGACGACTGCTTGAGCCCAGGAGTTCAAGACCAGTCTGGTCAACATGGCAAAATCCCATCTCTACCAAAAATATAAAAACTAGCCGGGTGTGGCTTCCATGGTCCCAGTTATATGGTAGAGTGAAGTAGGAAGATCGCTTGAACCCAGGTCGAGGCTGCAGTGAGCCAAGATTGTGCCACTGCACTCCCACTCCAGCCTGGGCGACAGAGAGAGACTCTGTCTCAAAAAAAGAAAAAAAGAAAAAGGAAGAAAACCCACAAAAATGCTGAGAGAAAGAAACCCTAAATAAATGAAGTGATATGTCAGATGTATCATGTTTTATATACCACAGAATGGAAGACTCAGTATTGTTAACATGTCCGTTCTCCCCAGTTGAACTGATGGATCCATGATATCTTTATCAAAATCTGAGCAAGCTTTTAA